GAAAGTGGCTGTAGCCTCAGACGTGCCAGACCTTCCTGCTCTTGGGAATGCTGCCGGGAGCTGCCTGCCGCTCCCATGGAAAGCCCTGATGGCGGGATCCCGGCCAAAAGACCCAAGAACAGCCTCGTGACGTGGGGCCTCCTCGGTGCAGAATTCCCCAGGTGAGCATGGGTCGCACCAACACTAGTCTTGCATAGGAGACACTGAGTGGGGATCCGTGGTTTGAGGACAGTTAATAGAATGGAGCATTTCAGGTTAGTCAAGTTTAGATTTCTCAGAAATGGTCAATCAAAAGAGGATTCACTTTTGCAAAGACTAATTTAGCAGTGGGTGTGGCTTTTAGATCAATCAAATTCAAACAGGGCCTCACCCTCTGGAAGACAGAGTGTCCCCCCCACCCCCCGCGGGGAAGAGGCAGAGAGGCCTGACCGACCCTGCCCTGTCCGCAGGACGCGCAGAGCAAACTGCCTCCCTGGAAGATGCCGACGGGGTCCAGCCCGGCTTCCCAGCTGAGGAAGGGCAAGAGGCGAGCGCCAAACTGGAGGGAGAGCGGCTGCCTAGGATTCAGATCAGCGTGGACTTCCGAGGGGCGCGAGCCCGTGAGGACCGGCCCTCGGAACAGAACCCAGCGAGATGCCAGCGAGATGCCGTGTGCACGATGGTCACGGGCCTGGGGCAGCCTGCCCGACTGGCGCAAAGTGGTCCTCGAGGCAGCCAAGGACGGAGCCACGTCCGGACGTGTGGGCTGAGGCCCAGGCCGCGTGGTGCTCGCGTGCGAGGGAAACGAGTCGAGACAGGCCTGGCCAGGACAGGGGCTCGTTCTTGTTAAGCCGTCCGTCCCAAGAGGCTAAAGCTAGTGCGTCCGCTGGGCACTGCTCTGGGCGAGGCTGGGAGCTGTGGGCCGGCTGTGAGGAGCCCTCCAGGTGTCTACGGGGGGGACGCAGGGTCTCGTGACAGACGGGCTAGCCCAGAAGGTCACTGAGCATGACCAGGTGCTCTATGGCACCAGGGCCGTGGACAGGGAGCCTGGAAGAGACGACACGGGTGTGAGACACAGCCTGGGCCGGCCGTACCGGGTCGTGCTGTGGGGTGTGTGGCTGGGGAAAGAATCGACGGGCTGCAGAGCCGCATTTTCTCTGCATGAACGGTAGAGGCTTCACCCACAGAGCAGAAACCAAGAAATTCGACTTTGTGAGAGATGTCGGACAATCCCTAGCCACCGCCGTGGCCTCGCCTGGGCTGTCGTGGCGCTGAGGCTTCCGCGCTTGCCTCGCCCGTACGCACCTATGGGTCTGCCCTGCCCGGAGAGCACACACCTTGGCACCCTTCCTGTGCGCGGTGCCTTTCCCAAGCCTGCCTGGGACCTGAGCGTGGCTCCTGCATGCACACACACACACGCACACACATGAGGGAAGGGGGACACGGTCCAGAGCGTGTCCTCGCAACGCCATGGCTGTCCAGGCCCCAGAAGTGCAAGCTGCTGCCACCTCGAGGCACACCCGTGACAGCGACACAGTGCAGGGAGCAGAGCTGGGCTGCCATCTGCCATGGGAGGCTCCACCATTACCTCTCCTTAGGTACCCGTATGTTAAACGATCAGAAGACCCACGTGGACTCTGCCATCACACGCACCCCGTCTAAGTTTGAGCAGCTCTGACTCTCCTACCACGTGCACGCCCACCCAGAGAGACACTGCACCTGGGAAGTCCGAGATGGAGGGGGGCGAGGGGCGGGAGCCCCAGATGACCCGAGGGAGGAGGCAGTGGCCTGTGTGGGAGGGAGGGGGCCGTGCATGCTGATGAGGGCACTGCCTGCACGGGGCGCTGCCCACCCGTCTGCCTTCCTTTTTCAGTGACACAGTCCGTGTGTGAACTGCCCAGCGCATAGACTTAGGAGAGAAGAGTTCAGTAAAGCTTACTTGAGTTCTTGCGAGCTGGTGGCCAGCATACTTCGAATGCTTTTGTCAGCCAGCGGGCAGCCAGACAGACTGTAAGACAGGCGGGACAGCAGTGAGTCCTCTACTCGGCTCCGCCTCCCGGACAGACACCACATGGAACCGAAATTAACGAGTTTATGCAGAAAGCGATGCGGCAAGTGCTGTGCATTGGATTTGTGGCACAATCAGCTCTGGACACGTGCACGTCTAGACTGAAGCAAGTATTTCAATTAACAATCAGTTTTTTAAAAATGAGGGAAGCATCTGGGCCCTGCGGTCCGGGTGGAGAAGCGTGCACACAGGCGGCGGAGGGGGAGCCGCCAGGGCCGCGGGCCTGCTTGGGCCAACGCACAGCACTTGCGGGGTCCACACAGGCAACGGCCCACTCGGACAGCATTGTTGAGGTAAGCTGAAAACAATAAATCGAAAAGACAGATCCACCATGAGGAGAATGAAGTCACACCTTCTGTGTGAGGCGTAATTACCAGTCACATGACCGTCCCCATCACACCCTGGAGTTGGACATCTGCCACCAAACAGAGACAAAACAGCCAGAAAGGTAAGTGTGTTTAGAACGTCCAGAGGGTTTCATTGTTTCCAGTTTAGCTGCAATGTCTGCAGGGGTCCAGCGCCCCAGGAGAAGCTGCGAAATGCACGGGAGTCGATGGAAGCGACGCCTTCGCACACGGGGCTCTGGGGACACGCAGGGGCACAGGCAGCTCTCGCTCCGCCCGGCCGGAGCCCAGCATGTATGTGCTGCCAATGTCGCATGCTCGGACGGCAAGGCACGTACAGGTCCACTTTAAATAAGCAGGGAAGGGGGCTGGGGCGCCGCGAGTCACCTGACGCATGCTTACGTTATCAAATCCTTTTTGCTCTCTTTGCACTGAGGGTACTTGGGTTTGGGGCTTGGGATGGTCACCTCCCCGGGGTACCGTCGTTCTTCTAAGGCCTCCTGGAACGGGTCCAAGTCTTCCGGCTGCAGGTGAAACACAGCATGAAAGCCACACGGGCCGCGGAGGCGCCCCCGCGGCGGCCTCCTCCACGTCACCCCTTCCCTGCTGCGTGTCTGAAGGCGTCACACTCCGTTGTCTCAAGAAATGCACGCTTAGCTTTCCAGCATTTGCCCTAAACTCCCCGGGCCACGGCACTGCCATGGCAGGCCCTCACGCAACTCCCCAGTGGCCACGCTTGCTACGGGCCACAGACGACCTGGCCGAGCTGGCCTTTCCTGTGCACTGTGCAGGAGTGCCACCAGGGGAGGCCGCCATGGGCGCTCATATCTGGCACTGACCCGTGAAGAAACAGCATGCCCGGGGACTCCGGGCGGTGTCTCCACACTCCTCGGGAAGTCACTTGTGTGCATGTGCTTTTTTTTTCTTTTTTTTGGAGAGGATTTTGCTTTAGGGCGTGTGCGCTCGCCAGACAGACAGAGAGAGACAGAGAGATAGAAAGCGAGAAATCACCCCCCAGGGGGGATGGCCACACCGCAATCCCTTCTCCTCCAGTCTCCTCTCGGGATCTTGGGCACGCACACACATGCGCCCGGCGTGAGTTTTAAGCCACCGGGTTCGGGACGCGAACCACGGTTGACTACGTGGGAGTCCAGCGACATAGCCATTACGCTAACCTCTGGTCCCGTGTGCATGTGCCTTTAAGGCTAAGGCGGCAGAGACCCACTTAGGGCGACGTGACATGAGCTCGCTCTCGCGAAGCCGTCTGCCTCCTGCAGCCCCGACCTCCTCTGGGAAGCATCTGACTGTGGTGCCCCAGGCGCTTCCAGACAGCATCGCTCAGCACCCGCGGGCGGTCCACACGGCACGGGGAGCCACAGCAGTCTACAGATGAAACGCCTCACGGGTTTTGGGAGAGTTTAATTTTAATTAAAATGAATTTGGAGACTCAGCCCCAAGCCTTATGTGGACAGCACAGGAGGGAAACGAGCCTAGGAGTTGAGCTTGCCATTCCGACTCCACTCTGTGCAACGCCTGGACTCCTAAAACAACTTGAAGAGCACAGAGACAGGCGTACAGGCCTCCTCCCCGACCGCCCACTCGTGCCACTGTGGCCTGGTCCCCCGTCTATCCCCGCGAGTCGCTGTTGGCCTGATAGCGGTCACCCGGCGGTCACCCGGCAGTGCTCACATGTTTCATTTTCTAGTGAAGGAAGACGTGTAATTTTCAGAACTAAACACTGGAGAAAGTGTCAGTTCAGTACAGAAAACATTTTCTTTCTTTCTTCTTAGCCTAAGGGGCATTACATCTACGTTAATCATCTGAATTTGAAAATTGTAACTACTTCAAACATTCCTGACATAGATGGCTTAGCCGTGCCAGTGTAAGAAACTTAGACAGGACCGTTCGAGGCGGGAGCGTGCTCTGATCATTTCTGGCTTCTTAGAGAGCAGGCGCGCTTGGGTTTCTGGAAGCTGGCGAGGGACCAGCACCTGGCCCGCCGCGTGTGTGCTTAAGGCTCCCGCTGCGCTTCTCTACCTGCGAGGACAGCCTCGGACTGTCACACGGGGCACCCAGAAAGGTGAGCAGGATACTGTTTACACTTTTCGCAGAGATCAGTTGTAACAAAACAAGCATGTTAGAAAGTAAGATTGGTACTTTAAACTAGGCTGTAGCTTGGGGGCCAGCAGGTGGTGTGGTGGTGAAGGGCGTTGGACTCCCACAGGGTCAATTGCGGTTCGAGTCCCAGACCTGGTGGCTTGCTTGCTTTCTCTCTCTCCCTCTCTGGTCAAATTAAAAATAAATAAATGAATACACAAAGTTAGCCACTGTGGCCTGGTCCCCCGTCTATCCCCGCGAGTCGCTGTTGGCCTGATAGCGGTCACCCGGCGGTCACCCGGCAGTGCTCACATGTTTCATTTTCTAGTGAAGGAAGACGTGTAATTTTCAGAACTAAACACTGGAGAAAGTGTCAGTTCAGTACAGAAAACATTTTCTTTCTTTCTTCTTAGCCTAAGGGGCATTACATCTACGTTAATCATCTGAATTTGAAAATTGTAACTACTTCAAACATTCCTGACATAGATGGCTTAGCCGTGCCAGTGTAAGAAACTTAGACAGGACCGTTCGAGGCGGGAGCGTGCTCTGATCATTTCTGGCTTCTTAGAGAGCAGGTGCGCTTGGGTTTCTGGAAGCTGGCAAGGGACCAGCACCTGGCCCGCCGCGTGTGTGCTTAAGGCTCCCGCTGCGCTTCTCTACCTGCGAGGACAGCCTCGGACTGTCACACGGGGCACCCAGAAAGGTGAGCAGGATACTGTTTACACTTTTCGCAGAGATCAGTTGTAACAAAACAAGCATGTTAGAAAGTAAGATTGGTACTTTAAACTAGGCTGTAGCTTGGGGGCCAGCAGGTGGTGTGGTGGTGAAGGGCGTTGGACTCCCACAGGGTCAATTGCGGTTCGAGTCCCAGACCTGGTGGCTTGCTTGCTTTCTCTCTCTCCCTCTCTGGTCAAATTAAAAATAAATAAATGAATACACAAAGTTAAATAAAATAATTCTAAAAAAACCCCCAAACCTGGGCTGTAGTTTGTCTCACTCACATCAGCCTCAGTCGCGAACGCCTTCTGGGTCACCAAAAATGTTTTCTCTTAGCTGAGAACTAAAGACCGAGTCTGGTCTCTCGCAGGTCTGCACCTGTGGCCCCTCCTTCCAGCTATGGCCCACCCTCACCCTGCAGTTGGCACAGGCGGCTGTCAATGGAAGGACATACCGTGATCTCCTTGGGGTCGTCCTCGTCCACTCTGCGTGGTTTCATCTTGGTGTAGTCCACGGGCAGGTCCCAGCAGTCCGCCTCGCCGAGCTGGAAGCACCGGCTGCTCATCGCTGCCTGCTGCTGTGGGGACATGGGCTCCAGAGGGGTCAGGACGGGGCAGCAGCTGTCTCGTGGCTTCTGCTTATTCATGCTAAGGTCCAGGGTCCCGTTCTCATCCACCTCCATGTCAGGGTTCTGTCGGCAGAAAGGCATGGCGACTTGGCCTGGCTTGACCATTGCAACCCCAAAAGTCTGGCCTCAAGCTGCAGCCCCGCCTTCAGGCAGAGTAGAATCCACACAGCAGATGACTTTCAGCTACGCCCTGTATAGACTCCCATGGTCAGCAGCAGTGGGCTGCTGGTACTTTTCTGCTGATCCCTGCTCAGCTGCAAGACGGGTCAGGGGGTCTATCTACCTGCCCATCACGTCCACCACCCAGCCATTTGTTCATTTGCCCACCTGTCCACCACACAGCCATCCGTCCATCCATCCCACATCAATTCCTCCACTGACCCACCCTTCATCACTCCACCCACCCACCTGTCATCTATCCATCACATATCCATCCACCCACCTGTCATCTGTCCATCACACGTCCACCCACCCAACCATCCACTCTCCGACCATCTGCCCATCACACATTCATCCATCCACCCACCCATCCATCCACCCACCCACCATCTCCCCATCACACATCCAC